CTTCAAGATACAGTAGCGGTGCTTAGAGAAGATTTAGCCGGCAGACGATGGGGACAGAGGAAATGGCGGAGATCATGATCGAGGGGGTGGCAGAGATGGTGATGGAGAGGGGGTCACCTATATTTTTGGCGTGATAAGACATTGGAGTCATTGTGGTTGTCTATGGAGGAGGTGGCCCCAATGGGGATAGGAGAGGGGACTACGGAGGGGGTGGCCCCGACGAGAGGGGCGGAGGGGGTGGCGACGGAGGGGGAGGCCCGGATGGGAGGGGCGGAGGAGGTGACCCCGAAGGTCGAGAGGACGCCCGACGTGATTGAGGGTAAGAGACATACTGTTGACGAGACGGAGCAAGTGGTCGGCAAGAGGTTAAGAGTGTCGTCACAATATGTTGTTTCCCCCTTCACGGCTGAGGCCAAGAGGAGGACGTTCATCGATGGGACGTACCCGAACTTCTTCAGAGAGGTGGATAATGCCAAGTGGTAAGAGTTCGAGACAGAGTGGAGGAAAATTATCCCCGGGTAAGTATTGTATGATTTTAATAAAGTACTATACGCTAACTCGTCTACGCTTATAAAACATTTCCCTGTTTTTTACAGAGTTAGCCGCACGATAGGTCAAAGGACGGTCTCGGACCCTTACAAGTGGTTCCATGATATCACCACTGCGGGAGCTTGGCTCGCTGATGATGTAAGTGAACTGTTCATTTCGTGTTTTTTATGTATATGTGACCTTGTGTTTATTAAATGAATAACTCATACTTTTTTGGTGTTTTCTGCTGCAGCACATCGACCTGACCATGGACTTGCTGCGAGATCGAGCTCAAAAACATTCAAAATCATTTAATGTCCATGGTCGAGTCATATTAAACACCGAGTTTCTGCGTGCCGTTACCATAGAGTATTAGTCGCTTGAACTTATCGGTAACGAGTACACGGTGCCAAAATATATGCTCGAGTGGGTGATAGGACAGTCACCGAGTGTCGAGGGAAAATCATGGGAGGGTTGTACACATATGTACATTCTAGCGTGCATCAATAAACACTATGTTACGCTAAAGATCGTTTTTGCTGACTCGACTATATATGTGTACGATCCAGATCATTCATATTTGACATAAGGCCAGTTGGAGCAAAACCTGGAGTCCGTGGCTGTAATTGTTCCTATGATGGCCAGACGAGTGGGGATAAATGTACAAGACAGATTGCGGATCATTCGGAATACGACAACGGCGCGACAATCTGTAAGGTAAGTGTTTGAACTTTGTTGTTTTCATCTTTCAGATTTAGTTTTTATTTACACAGTACTGAACTGATTCATTCTTGTTCAATTGTAGCGGCGATTGCGGCATATTTGCCATTAAGTACGTTGAATTTTTAAGTATAGGATATAAGGTTGATGGAATCAACCAGTCGTGGATACAGAACTGGAGAAAGAAGCTAGCATGTGATTTGTTCGAATTTAATACTGACCCGTAAATTTCATTTATATATATATGTAACATTTCAATTTTAAATTTAATTATTTTTGTAATTATGAAATAATTGTAAATTTGTGTTCAATGTATATAACATTCAAATTGAAAATTTAATCATTTTTGTTATTTTACACGTATGTCGAGTATGGAACTATTTTTTTCATATGAATCATTATAAATATCATTTATCAAGAATAAATATTGAATATGGAAGATTTATAAATAACAAATATTGAACAGTGTAAAGTAAAAGGAAATATTATTCATTTCACGTACCTGTCTCGTCGTCATTTAGGGAAATTTGACTGGTACAAAATTGCCGAGTATGCCCTACGGCTCTGCACCGGCCACACCTACGCGGTCGAGGAAACTCTCTGGTAGATGGTATTCTAGATGTACTTGGACGTTCAGGACCACGCGGTTCAACTGCCGGTGGTAACAAATTATAAAATGGGAAAATGTGCTCGGGAACTTCCCACTCGACTTCATTCGGTAGAGGAAATATAGTCTCGGCATATGTTGTTCTCCAAGACTCAGTCGTATAATACAAAGAGCATAATGTTCTCGCAGCAAAGCCTCGATACATGGCCATCGCAATTGCATGCTCACATGGAAAACTCTCCAACTGAAATCTCGTACAAGTGCATGTGTTATCAGTCAAGTCCACCATATATGCCGCATTACGTGCACATTGCATGGAGAAGCGAAACTCATCTAGTGCTTCCACATTCAACTTCCTCGCAATCTCTGCCGCCTTAAACAGTTTCTTCTCTTGAGTTGGGGCCAACACGCTAGTGCAACTCTGTGATACCGCACGTCGATCATGAAACCACTGTTGTAGCTTGTTACGAATGTTCTCAATCATTGCGAGAATTGGTAACTCTCGATCCTTCTTAAACAATGCATTGAGAGACTCCGCGTTATTCGACGTCATCATGTTGTATCGACGTCCTGGAAAGTATGACCGTGCCCAATGTTCGATCCCCATCTTCGTCAGATACTCCAACACCGGTAATGATTTACTTTCTATCTCGAGCATGAACTTATTACACTCTTCAGCACTGTAAGCTTCGGCTGCTCTCCTGAACAATGAAATGATGTCTGTGCCCCGATACCTAGTTTTCAAATTACTTTGTATATGGTACATGTAATACCCGTGATGTGCCCCGGGAAAAACTTCAGTGATACCGTTTATTATAGACTGTCCCCGATCGGTTACAAAGACAAGGTCTTCGACTTCCCCGATCACTTCCCTCAGTTTAGAAAAGAACCAACGCATAGACAGATCATTCTCTCTGTCGACTATGCCGAATGCAATAGGGTAAATTTGGATGTTGACATTTTGACATGTAGCAATAATTAATTTGCCTTGATATTTAGCTTTCAGAGTTGTACCATCAACTAGAATTACGGGTCGCATTGCATTTCGAAAACCCCGAATACATTGTCCGAGAGTCATGAAGAAATACTTAAAACAATTATCGCCCCCGTCTCAATAAAAAATGCCGTGCCAAGATTAGTTGTCCCCATGTTATGACAATACCTAGTCAATTTAGCATAACTCTCTTCAGCCGATCCCATTAAATCTTCCAACACACATTTTTTGGCCTTCCACGCTTTCTGGTAGCTCATGACCACTCCATACTCTCGACGGAAGTCGTTAATGATGTTCGAAGGTCTGTAGATCGTCCGTGGATCCTGATACTTGTGCATTATCTGTCGACCAATAAACCATGCTCAAGCTTGCCTGTGATTGTTTCGAAAAATTCCCACTTCGCAAGTATGTTCCCGTGAATACTTACGAATTACGAAGCACTTATTCGTGTCCATCTTAGTTGCTCTCAAGCGCCAATTGCAACTGTCTTCGACGCAAGCAACTGTCAACAATGACTTGTTTGATTTCTTTACCTTGAACTCAAAGTTAAATTTTAATGTCAGTCGGTGCACAGCTTCCTGCAAATCTTTCTTGGTTTCAAACAGTTGCTCGACCTACAAGTCCTCATCATCGGGAGCCACACGAGAAGAATTGGAGGACGGTCCACTTGTTCTAACCTCTGAGCTCCCACACAGCTCGTGTCTCTGTCGGGATAAAGCAATTAAATTCTCATTTGTAAACTCATTTATATTCTCATTGTCTTCAACTGTCGACGGAATTCTGCACGTAACAGCGACATCACGATCAGAAGCAACTTTCTCAGGAATACCCACATCATTCGCAGGAACTATCTCCACTGTCTCCCAAAAATCTCGATCATTGTTATCCGCCCTATCTGAATCTTCGCGTTCACCTTCGATAACATCCTTCGTAATTAAAGTCACACCAAGAACAGTCGGAGTCCGATATATTTTATTCAATTCTAATAGATAATTCAATTCAACATCATTAGTAACGAATACCGGTGGCATCGGAATGGATGAATCCCCATAACCGTTGAATAAATATCTCAATTGCATACCGTATTGAGATTGATCAACATTCAGCTTATTTTGCAAATCATGGTACATTTCTAAGTATGGTGTACTATCTGTTATGGAAATTGCAATACAATCACGTATGTCACTCGTCCATCTCCATTCCCACCGACTATTTTCATTTAATTCGAAATCACCGAAATAACACACGGGGATTATCATATCTGCATGAGGAAGTGGTTTTAATCAACTTCATTTATTAATTATAAGAAAAAGGTCAACAAAAATCAGTGCAAAGTCGGTTAATTGACTGTTTAATAGCCAAACAGTCAGCTGTTTAACAGCAGGCTGTTCGGCTGTTTATAGCCAAGCAGTCGGACTGTTTCCGACTGTTTGGCTGTTAACAGTCAAAACAGCCAGTTTGGTTGTTTTTGCGCAGGAGAATACGATTCTAAAGTTATACATCTGTTCAATTTTTTTTGATAGGTAAGATCTGTTAAAAAAAATCATGCTAACTACTATGTCGATATAAAATTTCTCTATTCAAACATATACTAATTTACTGAAAACGAAATTAAACATGCGTAAATGTACTTACCGATTTGAAGTAATTGATATGAAAAAAATTTCCAGCTTCAACGTTTCAAAGTTTTTCTAGATTTTGAGGTTCAAACAGATGAAAAGATGAGAGTTTTTCCTGTGTTGGAAGCTCGTTTTGAAGTTTTTATAAGTGGGGAAGTGTTTGGTTTTCAATTATTAATTAAAATGGTAGTATAGTCATTTCAATAATATATTATTTTGTAATTGTACAAAACATTTAAGGGCATCTTTATCTTTTACCATACAAGAGGCCAATGCCATAATATTCATGACTTTGAAAGTCAAAGTAAAATTTAGATCATTTGACTGGGTCAAATTTAAAGTATCCCGTCAATTTATAGTAAAATTGACATTTTTTTTACTAAAATAAAAAAGAATTCCCAAATAGTAAATACCCGCCATTGTTTCATTTACGTTACCCGCCGACAGTGAAAAAGGGTAAAAAAACGCTAGGGGTCACACATCTATGAACGCGTTTGTTGTTCAATCGCCTATATATAAATATTACCAAAATATTCAACAATAACCCTAATATCAGAACGGTGGGTCCGGACTGTTCATCTTCTTCTTCTTCCATCTCTACCCTTTCTCGCTGTGTAACCTGCTAGCACTTGTCGCCGTGCCAAGCGTCTATAGCCCTGATTTAATTAGGGTTCATTTTTTCTCAACAATTCGGGCTTCTATCTAAAGGTTTAGTCCTATTCTGAGAGTATGTATTTAGTTTGAACTGTGTTATTTCGATTAGTCCGTTTTCGAATATCTACGAATCTTGTAGTCATAAGCGGTTTTTTTTTTTTTTTTTTTTTTTGTGGGATTCCATATTCGGTATCAATTACTTTAATGGTTTTTTATGTTCTGATTAGCTCCATCTGTCTTTTTACGCATTTTCAATTTGATGAAATTGGATTATGAATTCATGGTTTTGTTTGTAATATTTTCCTTGAAGCTTGAAAAGATAATATTTGGGCGATTCACGCAGTTAGCGAATTTTGAAGTCTTTTTCTGAGTTCATAAGAAACGAAAATTGATGGAGGACTGGGGTAAGTGGTTTTTTGTGAATCTCCATAAATTTCAGTTTATTAATTTTTCTTTTTTTCTTTTTTCTTTCTTTTTTTTATATAGATTTTGCAAATTGATACCTTATTTATAAACCTTCTTCACAATAGTTGGGGTGTTTTTTGCATGTCAATTGGGAATTAAAATTGGTTTTAGGATCAAGTTTATTAATTTTGAGTGTGATTTTTGCAGTTCTAGTCCGGATCTCCTTATTTAGGGTGTGTTTGAGACCCTTTAATTTTGAAAAATGTATTATGGAACGGTGGATTGATGGAGAATGTATGGTTAAAAAGAAGAAAAGTTTTTGATTTGTGTGTAATATTATTTTAATGAAAAATGTATGGTTGAAAATGAGTACCGTAGAAAAAATAATGTAATAGAATGTAAAATAATAGGTGACCAACAGGGACTTAATCAACATGGTGTTGATCCAATCATTTTTCTAATGACTTCTTGCTGTTATTTGTATGCTATGATTCATTGGTTTCTTTTTTATTGTACCTGGAAATTAATGTCTTGTAGCTCTAGTTTTCATTGAGGATTTTGAACCTTAACTTCGCATATTAAATTTCCAGTTTTATTTTTTTATTTTTTGCATTTTCCTGACTTTTTTTATTGTAGAACGGATAGATATCCGTCTAGGTGCCCTATGGTACGGTGATGGACAAATTTATGTTTTTCATGATGTCAATTGAAGTCCCTTTGTCTTTGTATGGTGTTCTGAGAGTGCATAATAGAACATGTTACAACTTGCAACTAGTTTGGCAAATTAGTTCTGCCCTTTTAGACCGCATGCTTTCAGGTTTTAGACTGCATGCGTTTCAGGTGCGTTTTGAAGCCATGGTCCTCTATAATAGACAGTAAAGTTTTCATAAAATTTAATTTGAATCACGCCGGGAAAACTAGCTCCAATTTTAGTCTCATTCTTGACGGCTTGGATGATCAGATTCATTGAACCGCATAGACATTGGATCTTTTCCAATTGAGAATCACATCATTTTAAACTCATGCAATGGATTAGTCCTTCTGGTTTCTGACAAGCCTTTATTGTGGAATCCTTCAACGAGGAAAGTTAAGAAATTACCTTTTACACCCGTAGAATATCCAAAGGAAACAGAGGCGTACATGCGTGAGGCATTTTGTTTTGGGTATGATTCTAAAAACGATGACTATAAGGATTTAGGGTGGTCGAAGTTCGGGATGCCAATTGCAGATACTTGTTTTCAGAAACTAAGGTTTATAGCTTGAAATCAAATTTGTGGACAAGAGTTGAGGATTTCCCCTACATTCTGTCTAATAATAAAAGGGTATGGGGTGTTCATGTCAATGGTGCTTTGCATACAGTTGTTCAAAAATGTCCACACTATGGCTCTAGTCAATCTATTATAGCTCTTGATAGGATTTTATTCTTCCCTGATTCAATTTTGTCTTTGATTGCATTTTGAGGTATATAGTTTGGTAGATTCTAATAATTGTGTTCCGTATTTCAGAGGATGAGCCTACTTTAGATCTTCTCAAAAAGGAGCAACCAAAGAGTAAATGGGATGAGGAAGATCTGGACGATAATGATGTAAAGGAATCTTGGGAGGATGAAGACGAGCCTACTCCGGTATGACCATTGATGGCCTGTCTGTTTTGCTTTTGCTATGTTCAAGTTTTACTCAGAATAAAATATAATTTTAAGTTAGATTTATGAATATTGTGCTTTTATTTAACTAAGAACGTTGTCCTTTTTTGTTTTCATTGGTTGATTAACTAAGACAGGCAATGTATGTGATTTTATCTCGTTACTGTGCTCAGCACATGCTCCTCACTATTAAATAATGTTACTAACATGGTTTTTTTTACATTTTTTAAGATTACTGAACATTTTTGTGCTTCACCATAATTTTACTATCAGCATCATGGAAAAGTGTTTTGACTGAATCGAGTCTGAATGACACTTCATTCACTTGGCTCTACTCCACAATATGATTGGTTTGTCGAAAAAATGGATTGCTTTAGTTTCTTTCACTTCTTGAAACACCCACACACACGTCCGATGGCATTATAGCAATTCCAGCTTTATCAATGTTCTTAATGCCATGCTGCAAAGGCTTGTGTCTTAGAGTATCTGGTTAAAGCTAGGGGTCAAAATATTGAGAAAGGAAGCTATACGTTTTGAGATTTATTATTTATATTAGTGATATAGGTATTTTATTATTTATATTAGTTATATAGGTATTTTATTTTTGTTTTGCCTAAGTAGAGTATTTATAACATTGAGCTATCAATGCCTGACTGTAAGTATCAAGCTTTAGTGCATTATATCTAATAGTTGAATTGTTCTAGATATCAATTATCGTCTTCAGTCCTATTATATGAGCTAAATTTTCTAGCTCCTTTTTTATTTTTATTTTTGTTGCTGGTTCTTTACATATTTATTTAATTAACTAACATAAAAATTATACCATGGAAGTCTTATGCCCTAAGCCCCATAATCACTTCACCTAGCAAGACCTAAAATCCCTTGTATTCTAGTTTGCACCTGATGTGGAATTTATTCTAACCTATTGTATTCAGTTTTGATTCCTTTCACTGGGTGATGTGGTCAGGCACCTAAAGTTGAGCCACCTCCTGTAAAAGCCCCAATGAAGGTTGCAGCCACATCTGGTGAAAAGAAAGGGAAACCTGTTGAAGCTGAAAAGGAGGCCCCATTAGATCCTTTAGAAGAAAAACTCCGACGGCAGAGGTGGGAGTCCAATATTTTTATAAACCTGTCATCAGAGTCTGTGACTAGTTATCGTTCAAACTAACCTCGATAGCTGACAAAACCTAATAATTGGTTCCAGAAAATTAGTGGAATATAAACCTCTTATCTTTTCATTCAAGGCTGGGTTGTTTTTATGAATTGTAAAGAAAAGGCAGTATTCCCCCAAGTCATTTCTTTCTGCTTCTGTCATTCATTGAAGGAAAGTGATGGAACACAAAAATTTTAGATGTGCTTTGCAGAACTTTTATTTTTCTGGAACATTTTATTGCCATTGCTAATGCTAACATACCCTGCAACACATTTTGGGATGAATTTTGTGACCTTTTATTACGACATCTTCCGGTGAATTGCCCCAGCAAAAGGCTATTTCTCCCATATTTAACTTTGATTATGAACCATTTTGACGTGAGTCTTGGGACAGTTTCTGTTGTTCTTCCTTGCATTCCAACATCTATACCTATAGTTATTTCCTCCTAATTTTCTTTTTCTTTTTTTTTTTTTTCCACAGGCTTGTTGAAGAAGCTGATTATAGGGCCACTACGGAATTGTTTGCCAAGAAGGGTGATGAGAAAACCCTTGATAATTTCATTCCTAAAACCGAAAACGACTTCTTAGAATATGCAGAACTTGTTGTTCATAAGCTTCGTCCATACGAGGTTTTGTGGGATTTGAGTTGTCTGTGTTTGTATTAATTCGATTTTGCAGAGGTATAACAGGTCTCTCTTTCATTGCAGAAAAGCTTTCATTATATTGGATTGCTGAAGGCTGTAATGAGATTGTCAATGACTGGTTTGAAAGGGTCAGATGCCAAAGAAGTTGCCTCTTCGGTCAATGCAATTGCCAATGAGAAGATAAAAGCAGAGAAAGAAGTTAATACTGGCAAAAAGAAGACTGGTATATTAGTTTTGTGTCAACAAGTCATAGTTGTCTTCATGGCGAAGTTTTTAACGAGTGGCAGCATGTTTTTTGCAGGTGGAAAGAAGAAGCAACTGCATGTTGGCAAGCCTGATGACGACGTGGATGTTGGTGGTGGAGGGTACAATGACTATGACGACTATGATTTTATGTGAGCAGTCATTTTTGGTTGGTAAACTCAGCGTAGACTAGTTGGCATTCTTACATTGCTACACCTTGGGAATTAGGGTCTCTGCATTTTTAAGTTAGCTGTAATTCAAGAGGATCCCGCGGCCCTCACTCTCTCCCAATTAGGAGATGGATTGAGTATCAACTGTGTCACTGTCTTGTCTTGACTGAGAACACTTAAATTTTTCGGTTCGGTTGGTGGGCTTATCATTACTTATTTATGGATTTACGGTTTTGAACATGAACTGTAATCTATTATATCATGCTAGCCAGATTTTGTGTGAATAAATCTGTCCCGAATAATTGGTTCTTTGACCTATCAAAATGATGTCCTTCTGACGATGCCAAGGGCAGTTATGTAATTACCTTCTTAAGTATTGAACTCGCTTCGTTTAAGTAAAAAGAAAAAAATTATATTTCAAAAAATAATCATGAACTCGAGAGAACAAAAAAGGTTTACCACGGTCTAAGTTAATAATGTGTGGTTAAAAGTGAGTTTGGGAAAAATAGAATCAGGTTGCAAAAAATGCATGCTTTAATTCATTGACTTACATGACAACTCTTGCTTGAATTTTATTGATAGAAAATTTAAATTGCAAATGTTACCATGTATTAATCTCTGAAATATAATAATCTAATTTGAGAACGAGAAGCAAAAAAATTGGAGTTAATCATATTTTTTAGGGTTAGAATCTAGAGTTTTAGACTAAATGCTTTTAAATCTAACAAAAATAAAATAATTAATGAATTTTCTATTGGCTTTATTAAATTATTTTAAGATATTTATTCATGTTAATTTGTTAATTATCTGTAAATCATAAATGTGAAAAAAAATACATTTTATAGTATTTTAAGTTTTAACAATATTTAAATAACTGAAGTGAATCATGAAAAATGTAATAAAAATAATATGAAAAAAAATATTTATATTTATTTCAAATTTTATACAAAAAAATATAGATGATAAAGTATTGTTTAGTTCAACTAAAATTTTTTTGATTAATATATAAGTAAAAGTCAAAATTTAATTTTTACAACACATTTCAAGGGAGTCATAATTTTTCAACCACATTCTATCAATTTTATCAAATCTACTCAAAATCTCTCTTTTTTTTTTTTTATTATTATCTAAGGGTTTGTCTAAGTCCCATTTCTGGGGGAAAAAAAAAGATTTTGTAATAGTGATTTAATGGAGAACGTTTGGGTAATTGGCACAAAACGTCCCTACCTTTTAAGTCTATTGTGGAAAACGTCCCTACCTTTCAAGTCTATTGTGGAAAACGTCCCTACCTTTTAAGTCTATTGTGGAAAACGTCCCTACCTTTCATTTTTTGGCATTTTTGCCCTCATTTCAACCTTTCTTTGCGCTAGACGTCCTTTCGTCCATATTCCGTCAGTTTTTCCGTTAAACATTCGGGTAATTGGCACAAAACGTCCCTACCTTTTAAGTCTATTGTGGAAAACGTCTCTACCTTTCATTTTTTGGCATTTTTGCCCTCATTTCAACATTTCTTTGCGCTGGACGTCCTTCCGTTCATATTCCTTCAGTTTTTCTGTTAATTAAATACAAAAACATCTTTTTCTTTCCATAAATAAGGGTAAAATTGTCCTCACCCACTTCACCCCTTTTTTCCGCCATCAACTTAGTCCATAAGTAACAGTAGCAGCAACATGAATCTGAAAATACTTTAAATGATTAAGTTAAATAAAGAAAAAATATCGTGAACACATTATATTTCACAATTCCACAACTACTGTTGCTGTCATCTTGTGTCACTGGAAAAATTTAGAAAGACATATTAAATGGGTAGTCAATTTATAATGAGTCAATTTAAAATGAGCCATTCATCTTCTCCATTGAGCCAAAAAGAGTCATTCACCATTTTGGCTCATTATAAATTGACTACCCATTTAATATGTCTTTCTAAAATTTTTCAGTGACACAAGATGACAGCAACAGTAGTTGTGGAATTGTGAAGTATAATGTGTTCACGATATTTTTTCTTTATTTAACTTAATCATTTAAAGTATTTTCAGATTCATGTTGCTGCTACTGTTACTTATGGACTAAGTTGATGGTGGGAAAAATGGGTGAAGTAGGTGAGGACAATTTTACCCTTGTTTATGGAAAGAAAAATGTATTTTTGTATTTAATTAACGGAAAAACTGACGGAATATGGACGGAAGGACGTCCAGCGCAAAGAAAGGTTGAAATGAGAGCAAAAATGCCAAAAAATGAAAGGTAGGGACGTTTTCCACAATAGACTTGAAAGGTAGGGACTTTTTGTGCCAATTACCCTTTAATTAACGGAAAAACTGACGGAATATGGACGGAAGGACGTCCAGCGCAAAGAAAGGTTGAAATGAGGGCAAAAATGCCAAAAAATGAAAGGTAGTGACGTTTTCCACAATAGACTTGAAAGGTAAGGACGTTTTGTGCCAATTACCCGAGAACGTTTGGTTAAAAAGTAGGAAAATTTGTGAGTTTACATTTAAAATTATTTTAATGAGAGAATGTATGATTAAAAATGAGTTTGAAGGAATAATATATTTAAAAATTAAATTTCAAACAGGGGTTAAATCAAATAGAGGCAAAATGAGAATAGATATTTATATTTCGACTTGTTAGTAAAAGTAAATTGGAGGATTTTTACTTTTGAAAGTGAATAAATATATTTATACTACAATTTTAAAAAGATTGTATTTTAGTTGTGGGGAAGGTTCATAACCTTTACATAATATCACACTTTTAGTTCTTCGAAGTCGATTCCAACAAGTTTTTCCTTCGAAGTTTCTTCTGCGTGCCTTCTGTACAAGTAGATTTTGGGTCCAGTACACTCTCGCTCGATATATTTTTTAAATTAGTACAATGACTGGGTACCTGAGAAGCATGCTACGAAACTTTATCACTTCCACTACTCGACTTTGAACTAATAAGTAGACTACATTGACTTTTTATCCAATCCATTATCAAACGTGACCACCGTTTATCATCTGCAGCAAGGTCAGCAACCTGTGCAAAAGCTCGACACATATCGTTGTTTCTCAACTGTCCAAAAGTAGAAACTGATCCATCGTAGTTCACTGTGATCCTCATGTGTGTTCTACTAACGTCTCTTCTCCATCTCCACAGAATATATCTCTCTGGCAGCCGTGTGACATCATTACGAACCGGTATTGTGATCGCATGCCTACATATTATTTCCCGAAACTCAAACAAGTGACACTTGCAAACAATGTCACATTTCTCTCTTCGAAATGAGACCCGAAACTCAAACAAGTGACACTTGCATACAATGTCACATTTCTCTCTCCGAAATGAGACCAAAAATGTTTTTTTCCCTCTGATAGCCCTCAAAAGATTCTTCGAATGTACATACCTATCGAAGAATGTATTTATACCCTCTCTTCTTTATGTTGTCGACATCGTAGCCCAAAAGTAGTTTTCAAAAAGTACTGAACCCAACTACCTCTGATCTTGTACGATCACAAACAAACCATTATCCTGCAACCCGAATGTATCAATCATTGCTCACTAACCTTCTTCAAATTCTTGAACAAACTACGAATCATAGAGCCCATGAGTTTTCCCATGGCACATCAGGCTACCCAATTTTTAATTATATTTTTGGCAGGTGGCTATCTTATTTGGCACTTTAGCTTCATTGGTATCTGTCTTGATTGTAATATTCCTTCTTTTCGCACTTTGGAAAACACAACAGAGAATTCGAGAATTGGCTCATTTAGGGGGATTCTCAGATTCTGAATACTTGAAGAGATCCTTAACAAAAGAATTTCAACAAATGGAATCTTGGTATGCCTTCTCTGTTTTCACTACTCATCTTCTCATGATGTTTATGATAGAATTACTCGACATACTTAGACTAGAACAATGGACTTGCTTCTAGAGTTAATAAATAGACTGATTCGAATTTTTTCTGCAAATTTAGCTTTCCTATCGGGCCCGGTCCTGCCTAGAGGCAGATGAGGCCTACGCCTCAGGCCCAAAATCTAAAGGGGCCTCATATTGCTGGCCCAAATTTTTTTTCTTTGAACAATGGCCCAAAATCTAAGGGGCCTCTTTTTTAATTTTGGGATAATTAGGTACAATACCCTAAAAAAATTAAGTATTTGATTAATACCTTAAAACTGACTTAAAATACTATTATTGTATTAATTACATTCAAAACATTGACACCCACAACAAAAACCCAAATTAGAAGGGGGAATCCTTGCATCAGTAAACTCTCGAGAAACCTTCACTCCCGACTCCGACTTGGACTCCAGTATTCATGTATAGAGAAAACCTTACCCACCAATTTAATATTGTTGCATCTTTGTAGTTTTAACGAGAGTTTCCCTTGGGACGATTGGGTGATTTTGGGGCAAATTTTGAGTGAAAATCTTTTGTTGCTCTGTAAAAGCTTGAATTTGGCAAATCTTTATCGATATTTGGTCGATTTTATCAATGGTCAAAGTAGGTAAATGAATATCATGAATCAAAGTCATCAAAGAGAAATTCTAGGAGTATAGAAGGAAATTCAAACTTGAAGAATTACACTCGTGAATTTGAAGGTAATTTTGAATACACTTTATTTTTGAAGTTGAACTTTGAATTTTAGTAGTTTTTTGGTTTACATTAAAAAAATTATCATTAAATTTTAGATTAGCTCTAGCATTAAATGGTGCTCTTTCCCTTTGATTTTCTATGATACCATCAAGGTGTTTGACAAAATGTCAAAATTGAAATTTACATTTACATTTAAAGACATGATGTAAACATCATATGGCTTTTGTATAAATTGTGGAAGCATTTTTATGAAGTATATTGTCCAATTCGGCAAATTTGAACAACGTTCAGTTATGTAAATATGAAGAAAGAGTAAATAGTAAATCCTGTTGAAAAATGGACATCAAACAGGGGCTAAATTACTTTGAACAAAGTAAATAGTAAATACTCATGAAAAATGGGAGACAATTCATTGAGAAAGAGTCAAGTCATAAATCCAGGGAAGACAAAATTTCTCAGTCACAAAAAAGACGTTTTGATTTTCCTATTAATCATGAAATGTACAAAACTTCCTTAACATTTGTAATTTTCTATTTGTGAATATACTGTACTCATTTAAGAATATTTATATTAATGCATGATGTTCTGTTCTATTCTTTAATAAGGAAATGGTCCGAGGTTTTTTCTCTTCCCCACAATTTCCCTAATCTCTGTCCAGTAATTTTCAACCTCTCATCCACCTCCAACAGTTGCTTCAGGTTTTTTCCCTTATTTTTCTCATTATTAACAATTTCATTGAGCC